GGCATGTAAAGGCCATTATTTATCTGACATATATTACACATAATTTCCTCAGTTTATATTATTTCATGGTCAATGCCTCTGATATTTTTGAAAGTCTGTACACTAAGGCCAGAGACTAAGCTGAACTTTTTGTTGTCATTTGTATGATTTTTTGCTTTAAATTTGTTCCAGTTTGCTTCCTATTGCTATGGTAAAGACTATGACCAAAAGCAGCCTGGGATTTATTACATCCTATAGGTTAAAGTCCATCATGGAGGGAAGCTAGGGCAGGAGCTCAGGGTAGGAACCTGTTGGTAGGAACTAAAGGAGTGCTGCTTACTGGCTTGTTCTCCATGGCTTGCTCAGCCTGTTTTCTTATATTGCCCAGGACCACGTGCCCAGATACCACCTACAATGATCTGGAACCTCGAATATGAGTCATTAACCAAGAAAATGCCCTATAGACTTGCCTACAGGCAATCTGATGGAGGCATTCTCTCAATCCAAGTTGCTTCTTCAAGCTATCAGACAGAATATTAACAGTGAGACATCAGAAGTTCATCCATCAAATTCAGAAATACTATCAAAAGAATGGGTGACGTCCTTTATCACTCCTGTATCACAATAATTTTAGTTATTCTGACTAGCATGTGAAACAACAAAAATAAATATCGTAAAGAAAACTAAAAATACTACTTCTATATAACTATTTCCCAGTATCAGAAATGGAAGACAGTATAAAATAAAAAATAATTCTAGATATTAAAAACAAGCAATAATAAAACACTGTTAACAATAAAAAATATCAGACAAAAACATGACTATAACACTCATAAAGAATAACAGTGAGAAATTCCTCATCGGAATAAAGGGAAAAGACCCATCTTTATAGATATAAAATATTCAAATAGAAAACTATCAACTACTGGGAAGGGAAAATCAAGTGCCCATGCCTTCACTATTTTCCATGTTGCCTTCCATACAATTCTAAAAGACAGACCTGTTTCAAAGGTGAGAAAAGTACTGGACATAGGAAGGGAGGAAAACAAATGCTTTTCATCTGTGAAGAATCAATTTCAAAGTAGCCAAGAAAATACTGAAAAAGAAAAGTGATAGGAGTACTCTTTTCAAATCACTAAAATACACTCTAGGTCTCTAATGTAGTTATCACTGTAATACATCTTCTCCAACTGAGTAATTAAATCCCACGTGGAAAATATCTTTAGTCAATGAAGAAGGCAATAATTAATAAGTGGAACTGGAATCACCAGGCAGCAATATAAGAACTGTTTCGGCCATAAAGATGGCTCCACTCCATCTTGACTAAAGGTCAGCGAGTTCAAAACTGTCCCTAGTAAGTCATAAGACCTAAAGGTCTAAGTCGTGGCTACAGAAGGATGTTTGATCTTGGCCTTGGGTGTCTTATCCAAATAACAAACAGACTTGGTATAAGGTGTGGTTACTCCTGACCCTCAAAGCCAGGTAACGAGAAATTAAATATAAGGTGTGGTTACCCAATCCTTGGAGAATTGAGGAAGAAAAGTCTGTTTGTTCTGTATATGTGATACCATGTTCCCCTTTCTGATTAAGGTATTTAAGAATGGCAGAAAAATAAACTTGGGATATTCAGTATTGACTGAAATACCCTCCTGACATCTATCCTGTGTCTCTGTATCTCTCTTAACTCCTTTAGCTAGCCTTTCTTAATCCACACTCCCCCTTCTCAGGTACGAACCACGGGCACATCCGCTGGCTTTGACTGCAGCCCCGAAAAGACAGCTTCCCACAAAGAACAAAGAACAAAGAATGGTCATTTCATAACACTTGGCAAAACAAACTACAAACACATTCAACAGTCCAGACTTTGAAACCCTATAGAAACCCCTGAAAGCATGTGAAGCTACATATTAACGACCTCGCAGGACAAGCCAAGCTTTGAAGCAATAGAAGAAATATTGAGTAGAGAAATCTTCTATAGTTTTACAAATGAACAATACAATTATAAGACAAATGAAATGATGGACTGAAAATAGTTGTTGAAAACTAAGAAAAAGTAGTATTTCTGCTATGTAACAAATTTATACAAATTGATAAGGACTGCAAAATTAAGTGGGCAAATAGAAATTTTACAGAGAAAAATACAGTTTGCAAGTAAGTCATAATAAGCCAAGAAATAAGAACTACTATAACTTTTTGGCCTGTCATATTTGCAAAGGTGTTTATGGATTTTAAGATGATCTGCTCATTTCACTTCTAGGTATTTATTCCAAGAATATAATAAAGAAAAAGTATCACATAAGTATTCATGGAAAGTATCCTATTACAAAAGATGGGCTGGAGATGGCTCGGTGGTCAAGAGCACTCTGCTCATCCAGAGGACCCCAATTCTGTCCTGGCGCCCACGTAGTAGCTCACAATTGCCTGGAACTCTAGTTCCAGGGGATCTGACACCTGCTTCTGGCCTCTGTGGCATCACGTGTATGTGCTACACTTAACATACATGCAGGTAAAACACTCATACACATAAAACAAAGTAAAATATTTTTTAAAAGTTTTAAAAAGCTCATCATTTAATCATAGAAGTGATTGCAGATATTCTTCTCGAATGAACTGTAATCACCAAAATTATGAACATGGTCATTTTTTAGTAGTGAAAATGCTTTATACAAAAAGTGTAAGTGTCCAGGGTTGAACTGTCTCCGTAAAATTCTTACGTTGAAGACCTAACTATCCAGTATTCATTATCTAATCTTATTTAAAAACTGTCTTTCAGAGGGAATTAAGTTCAATGAGGTCATTAGGGTGATCCCTAATCCAATATGAATATCTCCTTACAAAAAGGAGAGATTTGGACACAGACTGCACTCAGGAGAATTCCAAATAAGTGTAAAGACGTATCAAGGGATGCACCAACAACCAAGGAACGTCAGAAATGATCAAAACCCACCCTAAGCTGACTCTCCACCATGGTGATGCTGAACCTCTAGCCTCCAAATGATCAATTCCATTTTTGTAAGCCACTTATGTGGTTTCTTCTGTTGTTGTTTTGGTTTTTTGAGACAGGGTTTCTCTGTGGCTTTGGAGGCTGTCCTGGAACTCTCTCTTGTAGACCAGACTGGCCTCGAACTCACAGAGATCTGCTTGCCTCTGCTTCCAGAGTGCTGGGATTAAAGGCTTTTGTGCCACCACCGCCAGGCTTATGTGGTATTTTTTAACAGCCCTGGCAAGCTAACACACTAGGGGTTGGGGATTCTAGCAATTATTAACTTCACAACAGTAATATTGATATAATTTGCATATCACATAATTCACCCACTAAAGCTAAAAATTCAATTATCCTTTCGCTGTCATTTCTATGAATCTACTGTCAAATCCAAAGTATCTAGTAATTTTATATTTTGTTTCAAATATTGAAGTTGACAGCCCATTTCTGAGTTAATTTTTACATGTGGTGTATATGTACTCTTGCATATGAACTTCTAGTTGCTCAAACACATCCGTTTGAGCAGCGGTTCTCAACCAGTGGGACGTGATCCCTTTGGAAAGCCTTTAGCTCCAAAAAAATTTACACTATGACTCATAAAAGTATCAAAATTACAGTTATGAAGTAGCAACAAGAATAAATTTATGGTTGGGGGTCACTGCAACATGAGAAAATATATTGAAGGTCATAGTGGTAGGAAGGTTGAGAAGGCTGTTAGAGGCTGTTCTGGGCAGGAGAGATGGTTCAGCGTTAAAGGCCAGGGAAACAAACCAAAACATCAACAGACTGTTTCTTTCCCAATGAACAGAATATCTGTCAAAAGTTAAGTGACTGTAGATACAAGTATTTGTTTCTGCACTCTTATAAAATTCAGTAGTGTATCTGTCTAACTGTACTACATCACAGTGTTTGAATTATTTTGATTTTGTTTCCAATCTTGAAATTGCAAATTCTGAGTCCTCTATCTTAAGACTTTGATTCCAAAATCATTTTGGATATTTAGGCCCTTCAAAGTACATATGAATCTGACAATTTTGCAAAAGAGGATACTGAAATTTTGATAGGGATTGAATTCAAATTGTACATAATGTGGGGTGGTGCTGGTGCCTTTAGCTGCTCCAAGTCCTTCCGTATACAAACATGTCTCACCACTTACTCAGGACTTTTCTAATTTTTTCTCCAATGCTTTATAATTTTTCAGGACTCAGAATTTCATCTTCTGTAGTTAAATTCATTTTGAGGAATTTTATTTTTTAAATGGATGTTACTATAAATGGTTGCTTTCTTAAGCCCCTCTGAGGATTTCATTGCTTGCTTAGGGGAGCATAGTGCATTTTTAAGTTTTGATTATGAACCTTGAACCCTTGGTAAATTTGTTTGTTAGCTCTAATATTTTTCTTTGCAATTTTTTTTTAATGTAGGAGTATGTCACATATGAAGAGGAAGAGCTTCTTTTCTGGTGGACATGCTTTTTCTTTTCTCTTGTGTGAGTCATCTGATTAAAATTTCCAAAGATATTCACCAACCCCACATCTGACAGAGGGCTGATCTCCAAAATATACAAGGAATACAAGAAGCTAGTCTCCAAAACACTAAATAATCTAATTAAAAAGTGGGGTACAGAACTAAATAGAGAATTCTCAATAGAAAAGTCTAAAATGGCAGAAAGACACTTAAGAAAGTACTCAACATCCTTAGCCATCAGGGAAATACAAATCAAAACAACTCTGAGATACCATCTTACACCTGTCAGAATGGCTAAAAATCAAAAACACCAATGACAGTTTATGCTGGAGAGGATGTGGAGAAAGGGGAACACTCCTCCACTGCTGGTTGGAGTGCAAACTGTAGATTCACTTTGGAAATAAGTATGGAGATTCCTCAGGAAAATGGGACTCAATCTACCACAAGATCCAGCA